AATAAAATCTTTTTTAAAAATTTGCTTGAAAATATGATTGAGAGTCTGATCCAGCACTACCAAGTAAGAAATGTGAAGGTGTTACAATATAAAAAATGTATTGCTATACTTTACCAGATTTAATTGAAAAAAGAAATGAAAGAGATGTTACAGCTGATAGCACAGAAATACAAAGGATCATAAGAGACTGCGAAAAACAGTTATACACTAACAAATTGTGATAACCTAGAAGAAACAAGTGTTTTTCTAGAAACATACAATCTACCAAGACTGAGTCAAGATGAAATAGAAAATCTGAATAGACCACATATTAGTAAAGAGTCAGTAATCAAAAACCTTCCAACAAACGGAGGTCCAGGACCACATGGCTTCACTGGTGAATTCTACCAAACTTTGTTAATACCAGTTCTCAAACTCTTCCAAAAAAAGGAAGGGGAACTCTTCCAAATTCATTTTATGAGGTTAGCAGTATCCTGATTCCAAAACCAGACAAGCATGCCACAAGAAGAGAAAATTATAGGCACTATCTCTGATGAAGAGAGGTGCAAAATCTTCGACAAAGTATTAACAAACCAAATTACACAGTACATCAGAAGGCTCAGATATGATCAAGTAGGATTTATTCCAGGAATGGAAGGTGTTTCGGCATTCTCAGGTTGTCAGTGTGATCTACCACATTAACAAGATGACGAATAAAAATCATATGATCATCTCAAATGCAGAAAAAAAGCACTTGACAGTATTAATCATTTAATTATGATGAAAGCTGAACAAAGTGGGTATAGAGGGAATGTACCTCAACAGAATAAAGGTCCAAATCATATATCAGAAATATATGACAAGCCCACAGGTAACATCATACTCATACTTTGATTTCATTAGACTTTAGTGAAAAGTTGAAAGATTTTCCTCCAGGATCAGGGACGCTAACTGACAAGGTACCACTCCTTCCACTTTTTTCAACATAGTTGGAAGTCCTACCCAGAAAATTTGGCAAGCAGAAGAAATAAAAGGCAACCAGATAAAAAAAAGGAAGTAAAACTGTCTCTATTTGCAGATGGCATGATACTCTAAAAGTGTCTACAAGAAAGAACTATTATAACTTAATAAATGTATTCCGTAAAGTTGCAGGATATAAAATCAGTACACAAAAATCAGTTGTATTTCTAGATACTAATGATGTACCATCATAAGAAGGATTAAGAAGAGAATCCCATTTATAATTTTATCAAAAAGAATAAAACACCTAGGAATAAATTTAACCAAGGAGGTAAAAGATCTGTACACTGAAAACTCTAAGACATTGATGAAAGAAGCTGAAGGAGATATAAAGAAATGGAAAGATACTCTGTTCATGGATTGGAAGAATTAATATTGTTAAAATGTTCATACTACCAAAAGCAAACTACAGATTTACTGTGAAAATTTCAATGGCATTTTTTCCCCACAGAATTAAACAAAAAATCCCCAGATTTGTATGGAACCACAAAAGACTCAGTATAGCAAAAGCAATCTTGAGAAAGAACAAAAGCGGAGGCATCACACCCCCTAATTTTAAACTATTGGGTTGGTCAAAAAGTTCATATGGTTTTTCCCACAATTTTCATTTTCACCAGTGACTTTATTGATTTGGATATTTTGAGTATGTCAGCTATTTCCTGCGTGGTGTAATGTTGATTGTTCTTAATTAATGTCTCAATTTGATAGCTCTCAACTTCTTTTGGTCTACCCAACCTTGGAGCATCATCCAGCGAGAAACCTGTAGCACAAAACTTCGCAAATTGCTTTTGACACTTTAGATCAGTCACAGTACCTTCTCCATATATGGCACACATTTTGTGTGTGTGTGTGTGTGTTTCAGTTGCATTTTTACCTTTCTTGAAATAATAAAGCGTAATATGCTAAAAATGTTGCTTATTTTCTATCTTAAATATTAAAATGGCTACACAGAAATTCACCAGTTTTGGTAGGTTTGTTTTTTTTTTTTTTAATGAAATCTGATATGACCTTTGTCACAATGCAGTCTAACATTGTTTTGAATGGAGTTAAAGACAGCTGAGTTCAATTAGAGTCATCTTATGGAAAGAAAATCCAAAGGAACTTCTTGGCCAACCTATATATTACAGAGTTACAGCAATCAAACCAGTATGGTATTGACATAAAGACATCCTCATAGATTAATGGAATGGAATAGAGAGCCCAGCAGTAAACCTGTGTATATATGGTCAATTAATTTACAACAAAGGAACTAAGAATACACAGTGGGGAAAGGACAGTCTCTTTAATAAATGATGTTGGGAAAACTGGACAACGATAGTCAAAAGAATGAAACTGGACCATTATCTTACACCATACACAAAAATTAACTCAAAAAGGATTAAAGACTTGAACATAATGCCTGAAACTCCTAGAAGAAAACATAGGCAGTAAGCTCTTTGACATAGGCATTAGCTGTGAATTTTTGAATCTCATGCCAAAAGCAAAGCAGCAAAACCCAAAAATAAACAAATGGGACTACATCAAATTCAAAAGCTTCTGTACAGCAATGGAAACCATCAACAAAATGAAAAGGCCACCTACCGAATTGGGGGAAATATTTGCAATTCATATATCTGAAAATGGATTAATATCCAAAATACATAAGTAACTTACACAACTCAATAGCAAAAAACAAACAATTAAAAAGTGGCCAACAGGTACATGAAAAGATGCTCAATATCATTAATTATAAGGGAAATGCAAATTAAAACCATAATGAGGTAAAATTTCACAGCTGTTCGAATGGCTGTTATCAAAAAGAAAAGAGCTGCCCTGGCTGGTGTAGCTCAGTGAATTGAGCACAGGCCTGCGAACCAAAGAATGGCGGTTCAATTCCCAGTCAGGGCACATGCCTGGGTTGTAGGCCAGTTCCCAGCAGGGGACACATGAGAGGCAACCATACATCGATATTTCTCTCCATCTCTCCTTCCTTTCCCCTCTAAAGATCAATAAATAAAGTCTAAAAACAGGAGAGAGAAAAAGAAAAGAGCCCTGGTTGATGTGGCTCAGTGGATTGAGTACCGACCTGTAAACCAAAGGGTCACTGATTTGATTCTAAGTCTAGGGCTCACGTCTGGCATGTGGGCCAGGTCCCCGGTAGCAGATTCATGAGAGGCAATTACAAATTGATGTCTCTTTCCCTGTCTCCCTCCCTTCCCCTCTCTCTAAAAATAAATAAATAAAATCTTTAAAAAAATAAGTGTTAGTAAGGATGTGGAGAAAAGGAACTGCACTGCTGGTGGGATGTAAACTGATACAGTTACTGTGGAAAACAGTATGGAGGTTCTTCAAGAAATTAAAAACAATTACCATATGAAGCAGCAATTCCTCTTCTGGGTATTTACCCATAGAAAATTAAAACACTCAAAAAATGATGGAATATCTACTCCATGTTCACTGAATTTTATTATTCCTAATAGCCAAAATATGGAAACATCCTAAGTGTTCATTGATAGATGAATGAATAAAGAAAATGTGTTATATACATACAACAGAATGCTATTCAGCTATCAAAGGAATGAAATCTTGCCATTAGGGGCAACATGGGTGGGCACTAAGGGTATTGTACTAACTGGAATAAGTGGGACAGGGAAAGACAAATACTGCATGGTCTCGCTTATATGCGGAATCTAAAACAAAACAAAAAACTAAGCCTTAGATATGGAGAACAGATTGATTTCAGGGTGGATGGGGTAGGGAGTGGGGGAAAAGGGTGAACTTTTCGGGTCTTTTTAAATTATTAGTTTAAGTTCACAAATTGTAAATGTTCGTTAATGAATCCTAGTATGACTGTTGTATGACAGAATATGTTAAAGACTGCTAGCAAATGTGGTTGAAAGTCTGATCTGCCACTGCCAAATAAGAAATGCAAAGATGTTGCAATATAACGAAAGTTATTGCTATGCTTAATCACATTTAATTGGGGGGAAAAAGCTATGATGTAGTTTGATCAAATTCAGTGCTCACTCCTAATCAAATTAATTCAATATGAAAATAAAAGAATGCTTTTCTGGCATCATAGAAAGAATATTCTTAATTAACCAATACCAAATTTAGAAGAAAAATAACCCTATAAAACTTGTTATCATTAGTATTTAATTCAACTTTAATTTAACATTGCTACGTAATATGGTCTGAGGATTGGTGCCAGTCCATGAATTTCTTGTTACTGGTTTTTCAAGAGATAAGTACAAAAGTTGAGATGAAGTGTTTAGAAAGTTTTATAGCATTTTGATAGTGTGATGTTATGTTTTTTTTTAGAACTAAAAATGAAACACTTAGGCTTGTGTTTGTATTTTGGGCTTAAATTTAATTTTTCTAGTTATTTTTACTAGTTTTTAAATTCCTTACTATTTTTATTAACATTTTAATAAGATGTCTTCCTGTGGAGAATTAGAAGTAGGAAAAACTGACTCTTCCCATAGTTATTTTTTGAAGTATTGCTGTGAATCATGCCACTGATGTAAGAGGATAAACATTTGAAAGACAACTATCACTATCCATTAATAGTAATGAATGGATATCCATTATCCATTATCCACAACATCCATTTATGGATGATATGATACTATTATTGAGAGAAGCAAAGAGTCAGTGGAAACCGGTATAGCTAATAAAAGTTCAATAAAGTGGTCACATGTAGAGAATATTGTAGCTTTAGGTTTGGATTGTTTTTTCAGCATTTTTATAATGAAATTGTAAGAATTCATTTTATAGAATTATATTCATTAATGAGAACCAATTGGCAGGAATCACTGGCAGATTAAAATTGTTAAGAGACAGGTATGAGGTATAAAATATAGTTAATATTGTGAAAAACAAAAAGAAAAGCCTTTTTATAAACTTTGATGAGAATGTTATCCAGTAGGAAACGTGTGAGTGGATATTTTAATCTGGATGTTAATATTTATGTTAATTCAGTTAATAACTTAGCATATTTTCTTTCAAAATTATTGTTTTAGAAAACAGAATCTTGGCATTTTCTTCCTCAAGAAATCGACTCTTCCTACACCTCGGATACAACCCAGACCAGGTTTAAAGTGAGAGAGGAAGGGAAAGAAATGACAGACTTCCCCTCTGTGGAGGAAGGTATATTGACCCAATCAGAAAATCAAGTAAAGGAACCCAACAGAGATCTCTTTTGTTCTTCATTGCTAGGTAATGCCTCTTTTTTAAAAAACTAGTATTAATACTTCTTTTAAAATCCTTACTTTTGGAGGACTTCAAGTCCTGCATTTAAATCCTTTCTTTTTTTTTTTTTAATTTATTTTTTAATGTATTTTTTCCCATTACCATTTATTTCCTTTACACTGTCCCACCCTATTCCTGCAAACCACACTGTTGTCCATGTCCATGAAGTCCTTTCTTGAGCTGAGGAGCTCTGTAGCGCCCTACTCAAAGATACTAAGCTATTTTTGGTTTCCATACAGTCCAGCTGGTGTAGTTATGTTAAATGTGCAGTTGCCTCTCGTTTTATCATACACTATTGCTCACAGAAGGCAGAAAGTTGGTAACTTCCTCTCTAGTGGTTATGCCTCCTCAGTCCTGAATTTGCGGAAGTTTTTCTTGGGGTAAACCATATATAAAACTTTGACTATTCAGTAAATACAAGCAAAAAACAAATGTTCATACTTACCTTATTAGATTCTTAGAATTGATTACAGCATATGTTATTCTCTGTTTTCAGACTCAAAAATTGAGATAAAGAGGTTAAATGACTTGTCTGAGGTAGTTCTTACTGCTTTCCTTTTCTGTATTTGGAACTGATTTATTAGTTCTTTACAAAAGGTAATCTTCAAGTTCCTCTCAAATCATCAAAGTAGGAGATAGAATAAATTGTACTGTTAACTACTTTGTGCCATATGAATGCTTTGTGGATATGTATGAGTGCTAAACCGATATGGTAATTTAATTTTTTTTTCATGCCTAATTATAGTTCAGACAAATAGTACTTTGTTCTTCCTTCCTTCAGATTTTTTTCAAAAATCGGAAAGATACTACCACCAGATTTTTTTTTGGAATTAGCTGTTGTCAGAGAAATGGGTTTAGTCGTGAAGTTGTCTTGTCAGAGGTTTTTAGAGGAGCAGGAATAGGAATTAAGTTCTTTTCAAACATAGGCTAATGCTGTTCTAAATATTAATGCCAATGTATTCTGTGATGTGGATCATCAAAGTCAATTTTAACTGCAGTTTCACATTTTAAGAAAGATGTTGACAACATTAGTGTTCTTTTGTGGGAGGAGATGACTGTGATAGTAGATGAAAGAGAAGACTGCTATGATCAGGTATTCAAAGAGCTGTCATGCCAAAGAGGAAGCAACTTATTTCATTCATTCATCTGTTTAACAAATATCTAAGTGCCTATTGTGTGTTCAGTGCTAGGGATATGTAAATGAAAGCTATCATCTTTGGGGAAGACAATCCAGTAAACAGAAAATAACAGGCCATCTATGACTACTTTACTGGTCTGTAGCAGGAGTGTGCAAACTACAGGCCACAGGTCAAGGCCTGATTTTTTTTTTACAAGCTAGGAATGGTTTTTGCATTTTTAAAGGATTATAAAAACAAACAAAATTTTTGTGACAAGAAACCACATATGACTAGCAAAGCCTAAAATATTTACTGCTTGGTCTTTCACAAAAATATTTGCTAATTCCTAGTCTAGAGGTTAAAATGAGAGTATATATCTTATTAAAAGGCTGTTTTAGACTTGATATAAGAAAGAACTTACCCTGTCCAGTGTGGCTTAATTGGTTGGACGTTGTCCCACAAAGTGGAAAAGTTACTGTTGTTCGATTCTGGTCACGGCACATGTCTGGGTTGCAGGTTCAGTCCCTGGTCCCGACACATGCAGCAGGTATCTGATCGATGATTCTCTCTCACACTGATGTTTCTCTCCCTCTCTCCCTCCCTCCCTCCCACTCTCTCTACAAGTAAAGAAAATCTTTTAAAAAATAAAGAAGGAACTTACTACTAGAGCCATTTATTAGTGCAAAGGCTACGAACAAAAAAAGTGAGCCTGTGTCATGGCAAATACACAGGCAAATACACAAAAATGTCAAATAGAATTCTCTAAAAAAAATTTCAGTATTTGGTAGGAGATTGTGATTGGCTTCTAAAATTTTTTGTAACATAAAGGTTTATAACTGTCTTCTCATTTACTACAGATGAAGCAGAACATTTTTGATTTTTAGAGCAGATCCATAGATCTTAATGACCACAAAGAAATTTCATCATTGCTATTTCATTATGTGTGAACACTGCAGTCATTGTGGGACATTAGTCTCCCCACTGGCAAGTGTCATCATGAAAACTGGTGCCAGAACAGTTGGATATCTCAAAAAAAAAAGAGTGATCCAAACTATCAGCAGTGTCCAAATGTGAGGAAATGTGGGGTCTTTGTGGGGGGAAAAAAAAAAACTTAATGATTCTTAGAAGGTGAAAGACTTAACCAAAATTATGAAAACAAGGTTACAAAGGTTTATGACTGAGTCCTACAGTCAAGGCCAAAGAGGAAATGCCAGTTAGTCCTTGGTGGTAACAATTTCTCTTTTTTAATTAATTGATTCAGTAAATAAATAATACATTTATTTTGAATGCCTGCTAAGTGTAGCAGGTATTTTGCTAGGCACTGAAGATACAGCTGTGAATAAAGTTCACATGGAGTTTTCAATCTAGGTGGCAAGCGGACAGACAGAAAATTAAAACAAGACTGGGGTATTTATGATAGGGAAGATATATAGTTCTTGTAGGCATTCTGACATTAAGAAAGTAAACTACAGCAACAGTATTATTATGTGCATATTGAAAGAACCATTTAGTTTTAGCAAAATATAACCCATCCAGATAAGTGAATATTAAATAGGATACTATTGGTTGTATAGAGTTGTTTCTATGAATATTTAATTTTTTGCATTTTAATTGTGTGAATGCTATAAGGAATAAGGAGTTTATACCTATTTTGTATATATTCAAGGGTATTCTAATAAGAATTATTTAAGCTGGCATTCAGGAATTCACAAGAATTTTGTTTCTTTTTAAATTAATAGTTCTTAAACTTTTTGGTCGTAGGACTACTTCACTAAAGTTACTGAAGACTCTAAAGACCTTTTGTTTATGTAGGTTATTGATATTTTTCCATATTAGAAACAAAAACTCACCAATTTAAAAAAAGAACTCATTAAAAATAACCTTTATTGCATTTAACATAAATGACATAGTTTTATAGAATAATAGCCATATTTCAAAACCAAAATATTTAGAAGAGTATCATTATTTTACTTCTAAAGATCTGTAATGTCTGACTTTATAGAAAACAGGTAGTTTCTGATATCTGCTTCTACATTCCATATCATACATATCACTTCTGGAAAATTCCACTATACTTTTGTGAGAGAATGAGAGTAAATAAGACAAATGATATCTTAATATTATTTTGATAATAATTTTGACCATAGGCACCTCCTGAGAATGTCTTAGAGATGCCAGGGAGCCCATGATCCACACTTTGATGTAAAATGGAGGAAAACATTCATGATGGTTGAGAACACTTGCTAAAAATTAGTGTTTAGGATCAGATGTCACTCTAGCACTTACCACTGTTTGAATGTGGGCAGATTACTTTATATTCCTTAAATTTTGTAATCATGTTTTCCCACCTATAAGATAGGTATAATAATACTCATCCTTCAAGCTTGTCATGAGGATTAAGTGAAATGTAGGTTTAGTTGCTTAGACCTTGTCAGGTAGTTGCTGCCACTGTTATGTTACCATAGTAAAGCTTGTAGAAACTTCCAGATGGCAGCATGTTTAGGTTCTTTAAAGTATTATGTGAGTAAGCTAAAAAGTTCATTTTTAGTATTTCCAACATTTTCACATTTGAAACTTTGCAGTCATACAGGACAGCTTTGCTTCTCCTGATTTGCCTTTGCTGACATGTTTGACACAAGACCGAGAGTTTGGGCTTGACTCCTTATTTCACCAAAGTGAACTAGATTTTGCGCCTCTGAGGTAGGATGATTTATGTTTTTATGTGCATGTAACCTTTCTACTCTTTCTTGTTCTTAGTTACTATTAATATTAATGACTTTAGCCTAAGGTCAGAGTTTGGGGGAGGGGTTAGGTAGCCTCAGCTTACACTCGGAAAGTAACAAGACCCTGAGTTAAGTAAGACATGATGCATAGCAGTTTGTCATAGTAACATATGTATGGGTAAAGATGAACCAGGCTACTGTAGTGTATTTAAAAATAATTTCTAATATATTCTAGCATTTCAGCCATATTTTAATTTAGAAAGCACACTGAGTTTTTCTTTTTAATGCATTTCCCCTCATGCTTTCCATCACCCAACCTCATTGTGTAAAAATCATTTGTTTCACTTGTTTGGCACTTTCATTTTGGTCAGCTGATATTGAATGAGCCTCATCTGATAGGTGTGAATATGAAGTAACAAGATTTCTCTAACTGACATGTCTAAATTAAAAATTATTCTAAATTAATATTCTTTAGAATAGTCATAATGGGAGACAGCTCTGGAATTATCCAAGAATTATAAGTTTTACTCTTTTAGAACAAAAAAAGACCTTAAATTAAAAACCATAGGCCCTGGCTGGTGTAGCTCAGTGGATTGAGCACGGGCCTGCGAACCAGACAATCGTGCTTTGATTCCCAGTCAGGGCACATACCAGGGTTGCAGGCCAGTTCCCTGCAGGCCAGCTCCCAGCAGGGGACGCATGAAAGGCAACCATACATTGATGTTTCTCTCCCTCTCTCCTTCCCTTCCCCTCTAAAGATAAATAAATAAAAATCTTAAAAAAAAACCCTGTAGATGTTTACTGAGTAAAAATTTCTGCCCTTCTACATGTATTACTTTAAATTTGTTTTTTTAAGATTTTATTTAGCTATCTTTACAGGAGAAGGGGAGGAGAGAGGGAGAGAAATATCAATGTATGGTTGCCTCTTGTGTGTCCCCTGCTGGGAACTGGCCTGCAACCCAGGCATGTGCCCTGACTGGGAATCGAACCGTGGTTGCTTGGTTCCCAGGCCTGCGCTCAATCCACTGAGCTATACCAGCCAGGGCCTTACATGTATTAGTTTAAAATTACTTTAATGAAAAGTGTTTTGTACACAACAGCCAACTGATGTTTAGATTACTGTTGTATTTTGAGGGGGTGGGGGAAGTACTCTTACACCACTTAAGTGGTTTTCAAGAGCATAATAAACTAGTAAAAGAACTAGTTAAATGAATTTTAAATTATAGTAGGTGATAAATCAAACATTTTAAATAGTAAAATTTGAATTTTCCATTCAAAGAACAATTTTTTGCCAATATGAAATTAGTCATATTTTTGGCAATAATGGTTTAGAGTGGCCTGTGAATATATTAGGGTCACAGGATGGTAGTTCACCTTCTGTTTATAAAATATTTGCTTTGTTCAGTTATTACTATTTTAAAGGAATTTGAAATTAGAACTTTGTTTTTGAACACACTTCAAATAATCTTTATCAATAATATATCAATTTTGTATTTTTTATGTTGGTATTTTAAAAAATGTTTTAAATGTGTAACTTTTTCTATTTTTAACTGTATATTTACAGGGTGATTCCTGGTAAGTCTGAAGACACAGAATGGTTTTCTCGACCGTCGGAAGTTAGTGAGGCTTTATTCCAGGCAGCCTCAGAAGTAGCTTCAGACGTAGTTAATAGTCATTTTAATATACCTCAGCACACACTTATAGGGAGTACAGCTCTTGAGTCACAGGGCTCTTTTTTATATCCTGAACAAGGAACCAAAGAAGAGACTGTTTCATCTGGTGCAGCTGATGAACTGAAAACCCCCAAAGACTCTGATAGTTATGATGCTCTTTGTTCACACATGTCATGGAAGACACAAGAAGTTACACAGGAGCCAGAAACCACTTTAGCTAATAAAGATCAACTTTCTTTTTCAACTTCATCTGATACAAGTGAGGAGGAATATGTAACTACTAAAGAAAGAGACCGTTTTGATGCTTCTTGTTTATATGTGCAGTATTGGACACAAGAAGCTTTACAGCAGTCAGAAAAACATTTAACCAGTAAAGACCATGATTCTTGTTCAGATTCATCTGACACAATTGATAAAAATAAAATTTCTGAAGGAATTGGCAATTTTAGTGCCCCCCTTTCATGTATGCCACGGAGCGAACAGGGAGCTTCACACCATCCAGAAACATGTGCAGTCAGTAAGGATCATGTTTCTTTTCCACATGAAGTTGCTTCTTATTGTAATAATAAAATGTCATATTCTTTCTTGCATTGCTTGTTGGAAAGGAGAGGAAAAAGTGTTCCCTTGATGTCTGATAGTCATTATTTTGAGAGGGTTTATTTAAGGGCTCCTGCTGAGAATGAGGTAAAACAAAATATGGTTTCTTTGGAGGGTTATGAAAGAAATGAAGAAGGTCTGGGGAAAGAATTATCTCAAAGTTTTGAACTAAAGGAAAATAGCAGCACTTTAGTATTTTTGAAGTTGTGTCCCAGTTCTTCAGAAGTACAGTATATTGAGAATGTTGTAGTTCCTGACGATTCTGTAAAAGTTTCAGAAACACATATATTCTCCAGGGAAAATGATATCTCTAAGGTAGAGACTTCTGGTGGTCCTCTTCAGACTATTACATCCAGCTTGGATGAGACATCAGAACAACTGTATTTTCAAGAGGAACGAAACCAAAAGGCAAGTGCTGCTTTTGGTGGGAAAAATGTTAATGCTACTGAAAATGTAGCCTTTGAGGCAGTTATTGCCTCTATTGAGCCTTCCAAGAAAGAGAATACAGGAAACGAAATCCAGACTGACTTCACTAAATCTTTAACAAATTATAGCCAAGGTAGTGAACCAAAAAATTCAGATCTTTTCTTGTTAAATTACAATGATGCCAACTCTTTCTTTGATAAATTTAGTCATCCACACTGTCAGTCTACTCCTGGGGTGTTTGAACCAGCAGCTTCAAAACCATTGTTGCATAAAAATGATGATGATGTTAGCTCCATGTACTGGCATAACAATGCAAAATTACTCCCCGGTGTTCCTCAGGAAATGTTTATTAGGCCACTCTCTTCTACTCCTTTAAGTGAAAAATCTCACAGCCAGGTTGTTGGTCTTTGCAAAACACAAAGCCCTCTATTTCAGTGTGGTGTAGACAATGAACCATTTCTTCCCGTTGCAGAGAAGGCAGAATCTTCAAACATTACTTACCCACTGAAAGTATCGGCTTCAGATTCTTTGTTTTTGCAAGATTTAAAGCAGCAAACCTTTGAAGAAGTTGCAGATTCTTCAAACTATACTTTGGGTAAGAATGTAAATTCTAGTCATGTCATTGAACGTCCATCTGCAGCTGTAGGAAGCAGCTTTTCAGCAAACTTGGTGGCACATGACGCAAAGTCACAAGGTGCTTTACCAATGACCAATGATGCATCATTAATTGCAGTTGGCCAGGAGACATTGCTGAAAGCTGATGAAATTCCTCGGCCTATGGAAGCCAAGTCCAGTTTTACAGTACATACAATTATACAAAATGACTCCTATTTTGTAGAAGGCCTGCAGGGGAAGTCTGAGTCTGACAGTACTCTGGGTGATGAGACTGAATGCTGTAGCCTAGATGAAAATGCTGTTGTATGCAGTAAAAGATCTACTGAGCTACAAAGAGAGGTGAGATACAATAAGATGATAGTTGGAGAAAACATGATCTTTTGCAGTATTGTTTCAGGAAATGGCATTGTTATTTGTTTTTATTTTTTTTTGCTATTTCTCAGATGTGTGACCAAGGTGACTTGAGTGGTGAGTGCATTGAGGTAACATGTTTAGAAAATTTGCTTGATGATCTAGAGATTTGTGACAGCTCCTTGCCCTGGGAATCTGCTTTACAACAACCATCCAAGGAAGAGAGCAGTTTTGAAGAGCCTGTAAGTTTTTCCAGTTGACATTTCTTATGGGGCAGTGAAAGAAATATTTTAGTTGAAAAATGGGGATAAAAGTGCCTGTTTATGGTCTCTAATACCAACTTGTGATTTGTAATCTGATCTTTATCTGATATGCAGGAGTATGGTTTATTAATTTGTTAGAGATTGGCATAAAAGAAATGTTCGTATTTTGTAGACTGTAAGACTTAGTGAGTTTAGTGGTATCTTGGACAAAGCCATCCTTTGGCACACCTAGGTCTTTCATCATGAGGCATCCTAACTCTTCCAAGTTGTGCCAGCAAACACCTTTGGGACAGGCCCTGGCCAGGTAGCTCAGTTGGTTAGAACATCAGCCCAGTATACCAAGGTTGTAGGTTTGATTCCTGGCCAGGGCATGTACCAGAATCAACCAATGAATGCATAAATAAGTAGAAGAACAAATCGATGCTTCTCTTTCTCTCTCTCTCTCAAATCAGTAAAAAAAAAATTTTGGAAAAAAAAAAGATCCTTTGTGGCAGAGTTAAAAAGTGTAGCCTCGTTCATGGAGTCATTGGTATCTGCTTTTTCTACCCCCTCTGCCTTTCACTGTACAGGCCTTGGAATAGGCCCTGGAAATATTCAAGTATTTCTTTTTAGACACTCCTGAAAGATTTGATTTCAGAGGTATCTTGAAAATTTTAAGAATCTGTATTTACCCAGGAAGGATACTGAGGTAGTTACTATCCAAACTAGTTAGTATCCCCAAAGGGAACTAACTACTTCCCTTCCCACATGAGCAACATGTTTATGTATAATTACATTTCCTTACCCTCTATATCATCATTATTTTCTGTGTGTGTACCAAAAGATTATAACCTTGAGGGGGTAATAAAAATTCCATGTCAATGTTTCTTTTATACAAGGATTCGTTTTCCTGGGTCTTTGGATTCCTTGGCTTTAATGTCCCTCTGGTCCCATTGCCCTTCCTCTTTTGTCGGATACTGTCAGCTCTAACCTGGGTCCCACTTCCTTATAGTATACACTAATACCCTATGTATTTTTATGTGTTATGTGTAGATATTAGTGCTATACATAATGTTACTTTCCTTTTCCTGTTTTCCCAGGTATAAGATCAGCATGGTATTGGAAAACTACTAGTTACAGTTGCAACTATTAGACCTTTAGGTTCAGGCACCTGATAAGAGGAAATGAACAAAGATATTATGATGAACTTTTCCTCTTATTTTTAATGTGTTGGATTTAAAAAAGATTTTAATATGGAGAGCTGTTAGGCTAGTTTTATTTTATTCATTCTAAAATAGGCATTGTTTAATTTAATTTTCAATCTAATAACAGTGGGGATGAAAGTGATAACTTTGTGCTCAAATACTGTGCTAAGTTTTACTTATAAACATCAGTTTGTTTAGTCTTTTTGTCAATCTTATTAGGTAGAATTGTTGGGAATTATTGCCATCCCCATTTTTATAGATAACAGAGTTAAGGAACTTGCTTATCATGTAGTAGGTAGGGGAAGTCTGATTTAAAACTAACCTTATCTGTGTACTTAACCACAATGCCATAAACTGTCTCCCTGTTTGGCTATTTTTCACTGAAACCAAGGCCAACATTTTGCAATATTTTGGCGAGAGAGAAGTTTTTGAATTTAGTTTCAATAAGAATGAGAAACAAAATCTAATCAGTTTTAAACATAGTTTCTATATTTTTAAATAAATTTATTTATTTTTTTTGAATTGATTATGCTGTTACAGTTGTTCTATTCCCCCCTTCATTCCCCTCCACCCTGCCCCCCCCAACCCCACCATTACCCCCCTTTAGTTTATGTCCATGTGTCTCAAGTCCTTTAGGTTCTATATTTCCCATACTATTCTTGCCCCCCCCATCTATTTTCTATCTACTGTCTATGCTACTTGTTTTCTGTACCTTCTCCCCCCTTCTCCTCCTCCCACTCCCCTGTTGCTAACCCTCCTTGAGATCTTCATTTCTATGTTTCCACTCCTGATCTAGCTGTCCTTTTAGTTTGCTTTCGTTTTAGGTGTGGTTGTTAATAACTGTGAGTTTGTTGTCCTTTCACTGTTCATGTTTCTTTAACTTCTTTTTCTTAGATAAGTCCCTTTAACATTTCATATAATAAGGGCTTGGTGATGATGAACTCCTTGAATTTGGTCTTATCTGAGAAGCACCTTATCTGTCCTTCCGTTCTAAATGAAAGTTTTGCTGGGTAGAGCAATCTTGGTTGTAGGTCTTTAGATTTCATGACTTGGAATATTTCTTTCCAGCCCCTTCTTGCCTGTAAGGTCTCTTTTGAGAAATCTGCTGACAGTCTGATGGGGACTCCTTTGTAGGTGATTGTCCCCTTAGCTCTTGCTGCTTCCAGGATTCTTTCCTTCATTTTAATTTTGGCTAATGTAATTATGATATGCCTTGGTGTGTTTCTTCTTGAGTCCAACTTTTTTGGTACTCTCTGGGCTTCTTGGATTTCTTGGAAGTCTATTTCCTTTGCCAGATTGGGGAAATTTTCTTTTATTATTTGTTCAAATAGTTTTTCCACTGGTGGTTGTGTCTTTCCCCCTTCTGGTACCCCTATAATTCGGATATTGGAGCGTTTATAGATGTCCTGGAGGTTCCTAAGCTTCTCCTCATTTTTCTGAATTCTTATTTCTTCATTCCTTTCTGTTTGATGATTTTTTTCTTCTTCCTTCTGGTCCACTCCATTGATTTGAGTCCCAGTTTTTTTTTCATCTCTATGGGTTTCCTGTGGAATTCCATTCATTTCCCCTTAATTTAGCCTTCATATGTTTCTCTAATTTGTGGCTATAGTCCACCAGATCTGTGAGGAAGCTGATGACCAGTGTTTTAAACTGTGCGTCTGAGAGATTTGCTATTTCTTCGTCACTTAGATTTATCTCTGGGGCTTTGAGGTCTCCCTGCGACATTTTTGGTCTGTTCTGGCCCTTTAAGTGGGAGGAGCGGCGCCTTGGAGTCCCAGGTCGCTGGGTTGTGACGCTGTATGTGGGGGCGTGGTCAGAGCGGGGAAATGGCGCCACCGCCGCCGCCGGTCCAACCGCTCACTCCCTCACCCGCGTGCAACCAGGCAACCACAGTCAGCTCGCTGCCACCGCCTCCCCACTGTCTCCTCCGTAGTCGCTCACCCGGTGGGCCGCTCGGTCGCTCACTAGGTCCAATCCTGGGTTTGGAACCTGTGCGACTGGATTCACGCGTCTGGATTCCGCGCCCGGGTCGATCGAGCCCTCCTTTGTAACTCCTCACCCGACGCCGGTTTCGCCCCTTACCGGTCGGGCCGAAGAATTTGTTGTTAGCGGACTTCCGAAAAGTTCAGTTTTCCGTGTTCTGGTTGTGTTTTCTGATGCTAATATTTAGTTGTCCCTAAACTTGGTTGTGTGAGGAGGCACGGCACATCCACCTAAACCTCCATCTTGGCGGAAGTCTCCAGTTTCTATATTTTTGATGCTACTTTTATAACTTGTATGAACTTTTTCATATAAAGAAAAATATTTTAAAAAAATGAAAATATATTCAGTTAATAGCAATATGCTGAAGTTAACTCTGACCACGTTCCAAATTTTATTTACCCTAATATGGTGAAAAGTCATATATGTTTATGCACTAACATCACCAATAATGGTTACTAGTTCCTTTTTTATTTTATTTTTATTTTATTTATTTATTTTTAGAGAGAGGAGAAGAGAGGGAGAAGAAAGGTAGAGAAACATCAATATATGAAAGAGTCATTGATGAGTTGCCTCTTGCACACCCGCAGCTAGGATCCTGACTGGGAATTGAACCAGTGTCCTTTTGGTTCGCAGACTGATGCTCAATCCACTGATCCTCACCAGCCAGGGAACTAATTCCGTTTTTAGCAAGGACATGTTGGGATCTGGTAAAAGTTTAGGAACTTCTTTATCAGCATTTAACCTTTACTTCACTCTCAGTTTATATTTCCAACTACTTTTGTTTCAAGAAATTTGAAGATTTTTGTTTTTAGGTAACTGATCACAGATACAATTTTTTGATGCTCTTACTGTTCTTCTAAACATTTGTGGATTTCTTGAAAATTTTCGGTTTTTTCTTCTCTCCTTCCCTCTTTTCTTTCCACAACACAGCTCTTCCTCTTTAAAAATCCTTGTACCATAGTTCAAATTTTGCAGTGATCATACTATTATAAGGAGAAAACTCTGAGTAATAAAACATTTCTAGGCCCTGGCTGGTGTAGCTCAGTGGATTGAGCGCAGGCTTGTGAAGCAAAGGGTCACCGGTTCGATTCCCAGGCAGGGCACATACCTGGGTTGCAGAGCAGGTCCCCAGTGGGGAACACGTAGGGGGGCTGCCGCATGGTGCTGTTTCTCTCCCACTCTTTCTCCTTCCCGTCCCCTCTCTCTGAAAATAAATAAATAAAATATTTTTAAAAAAAAACATTTCTCGGCTTCCTATCTGTCATATTCTATACGGGCAGACTTCCAGACCCTTAGAATAATTTATAGAGTCATCTTGGAATTGACCGAACAAAATATGACCTGGATATGAATTCAGGATGATTGAGAATATAATCTTAAGGACTGGTATAACTGGTTAGTATTTATAAAAGTGAGGTTTGTACTTATATTTTAGCAGATAAAAAAAGTAACCTTATTTTTTATCTCTTTTCCTAGGTTGGTCATTCTGATATGGATATTAATCAGTCTTTTGCATCTGTATTGCCTTCATTTGTTCCTCATGAGCCAAACAGAGAGTTGGAGTATCACAGTTCAGATCTCAGAATGTTGAGGGTATCTCCTGAGATTGTGCCAGAGACTCTCAAACATTTATCAGGTATGTAGAAAAGGAGATACTGTGTCCTTATTGGTTAGCTTGTTAAAAATATCTTGCTATGGCTAATTTTTTATTTTTGAACTCCTGCAATAATATTAACTTTTGATTAAGTGTATTTATAACTGCCCAGGTCTCTTTTATTAGGTGAACCATTTGATTTTTCATCACTTTCTTCATGATAGTATTGAGAACTGAATTAAATGGAGAATTCTAAATTAGAGTCGGTTTGTTTCTATATTCCTTTCTGTGGTTTGAAGGGAAAAAATTAATTGAGTACAAGAGGATAAGAGTAGATGTAAGTAAGTTGGTAGAGAGGAAACTGAGAGCTCAGTTTTGAGGCAGAAAGCAAGATTATCTGCTATGGGAGGTGGGGGCTGGTGGAGGGGCTAGGTATTCAGAGGAGAGTGGCTCGGTGAAGGCTCAGAACTTACGTTGCAGTGAGCAGGAGAGGAACCGACTAAGAATGAGCAAAAGAATTGGCAGGTAGTTCTGAGAAGCAGCGGAGGCTAGAAATGATTTTATAAAGTCATCAGCCTGTATATCTGATTTTTCTGTATTAAAACTCAAGAATGGAGAAGACGAATTATGGAATTGATCCTTGGTTGTGGAATTTGGGTGTAGTGGAAAGATAGCATTGGAAGGGAATCAGTGAGAGATGAGTTGATCAACTATTGGTTTCAGCCAGAGAGAAAGAAAAGAAGTCAGGAGAGTTGTTAGTCAGGGAGAAAATAAAGGAACAGAGGTTTGTTTATGAAGATGAATACATGAAGTGGGTATGAGTTACTGAGAGAGCTATGAGAACATGTAATTTTGATCAGAGTGAGTTACTGTATTTAAATGTGAATCAGTTTGAAGATTCATTGCTTGGCCCTGAGAGGATTAGATAGTAGGAGTTGAATAAAGATCACTGGGATAAAATAAAATGAGAGTTTTGAAGCTAGCTTATTGGATTCATTATGTTTAAATATTTTATGATTTTATGGGATTTAGGGTTTAGAGAAACCCTATGTTCCAGACCTTGAAGTCTTAAAAATGAATGGGAGCAACTGGGAGTTGCAAGAACATGATAAATGGAGGATGGTATTGAAGCTATGTGTAGCCTAAGCCAAAGAAAGGAGGTTTTATTTTTATATTTTTGTTTATTTGAGGAAGGTAGAAAATATTGGTAAGGAAATCATTGTGAGAGGTAGCTAAATGCCAATTTCCATCTCCTAGTTTCTAGTCATGGTATATGGGAGAGGGCTGCACAAATAATAAGGATTATTGAGAGGAAATTCAAGTGTTTCTTTTTTTTTAAGACAAAAAGTCGGAAAGTGTTCTCTGAAAAAATTGAGAAAGGTTGTTTATTAAGTAGCAGAATGATTTCCAAGAGCACAGAGGAAAGAAGGGAGGGAAGGAGTAAACAGTGGGAGGAATCCAGTTAAGAAAATAGGAATAGACTATGGGGACAAGAGACTGGCAATATTTGCATTTTTTCTGGACCGGGGATTTCAGTGATTAGCATAGCTGAAACGAATAGTCTCAAATATACTAATTTTTCAGAGGTAATTTTGGTGTCAGAACTGAGGGTCCCAGCTCATCTCTAGGGTCCAGTCTTAGAGATGAAATGAAGACTCCATAGGATTTCACCATATGTAAAAATGTCTTTTTATGGTTTTCTTTTACAAATTGTAGCCCACCTTGATAAAGAATTCTCAGATTGCAGTTCACCTTCCTCTCCCCACTTTACATTCTTTGAAATTGTCCTCAGGCTCTTAGGTATTTTTTTCTGTTTTTCGTGGGTTTTTTTTTTTTTCCTCTTTGCATTTTAGTTTGGGAAGTTTCTGTTGACCTAACTTGAAGTTCACTAATTCATTCCTCAGCATGTGCAGCCTGCTGATGAACCCATCAGAGGTGCCTTCATTTTTGTTACAGTATTTTTGATTTCTATCATTTCCTTTTGATTCTTATAGTTTTTATCTCTCTGCTTACATTACTCATCTGTTCTTGTATATTGTCCACTTTTTCCATTAGAGCTGTCGGCATATTTAATCATAGTTGCTTTTTGTTTTTAATCCTCACTAGAGGACGTGCAATAGCAGTATGCTGAAGTTAACTCTGACTACGTTCCAAATTTTATTTACCCTAATATGGTGAAAAGTCATATATGTTTATTTGACTTTAAAGAGAGAGGGAGAGAAACATTGATGTGAGAGAGTAATATCAATCAGTTGCCTCTCATACATGCCCTGCCTGGGGACTGAACCGGCAGCCTAGGCATGTGTCCCGACCAGGAATTGACCCCATGTTCTTTCTGTTTGGAATGACACTCCAGCCGACTGAGCTGGATCAGTCCCGGACACCAGCCAGGACTAATCATAGTTACTTTAAATACCTGGTCTGGTAATTCCAAATTCCGTCATATCTGAGTCAGGTTCTGTTGCTTGCTTTGCCTCCTCAGAATGTTTTTTGACTTTTAACATGTCTTGTTATTTTTTGTTCAATACTAGACATGATGGTTTAAGTAACACTATTGAGGTACAGAGGCTTTTGGTATGAGCTTTTAAGTTTATTTGGCTAGAAGTTAGGCTGTATTACTGTTAGCTGTAACCATGGTGTCAAACTAAAATTTCCTCTGGTGCCCTTGTTTTTTTTCCTATGTTGTCTTTTGGTTTCCCTTGAGAAACCTTAAGCAGGGTCTGAGGCTTGCTTGCATTTTTTCATCTGTAATCTGTTTATACAAGAGCTGTATGGATGTAGTGGTAATATGTGGAGGGGAGAGATTGCATTATAACAACCCTATGATTAGGCCTCAGTCTTTTGGTGAGTCTTTCCTTAGGCTATTACTTTCACAAGTGCTTTTCAGCACTTTTTCCCTTCATAAGTGAAACAGGAAGGCCAGAAGGAACTAGAGTTGGATATTTCCCTTACCCCAGGTTGGTTAGGCTCTGATAAAAGAAAGTCAATTAGGCTCTGGTAATTTAGTTTCCCTTGAGGTCAGCCTACTGTTATATAGAGACCAGAGCTTTGGGACTTTTAAAATGGTTACTTCCCTCTTCCGCCAAGATGGAGGCGTAGGTGGAAGCACTGCGCCTTCTCACACAACCAAGTTTAAAAATAATAAAGTTTTAGCAACAAAAACACAGCCAAACCACAGAAAATTGAACTACACAGAAGTCTGACAACAACGAACCCTTCAGCCAAACCGGTAAGAGGGGCAGAGCCAGCATCAGAGCAGGGTCGGGCAGGAAAGATCCACCAGACTGACCGGGCCGTGAAACCCAGGCACGCAGGTCGCAGTGGGCAGACCCACTGAGGGCCCAAGGTGGTGGACTCACTGAGGGCTGACCAAAGTCACACAGTTGAGCGCAGATAAACCGGTGAAGGAGCAAAGCAGTGAGACAGACCGTGCAGGCCCCCGTGGCGGAAAGTGGCAGAGGGGACCGCCATTGTCCCTCTCTGACCCTGCCCCTACATACAGCATCACAAACCAGCGACTTGGGTGGCCCCGCCCTGGTGAACACCTCCTCTGCGTAACAGATCAAAACATGGCTCAAGAACAACTCAAAGCCCCAGAGCCAATAAATCTAAATGATGAAGAAATAGCCAACCTATCAGATGCACAGTTCAAAACACTGGTGATCAGGATGCTCACAGAACTGGTTGATTATAGTCACAAATTAGAGGAACATATGAAGGCTAAACTAATTGAAATGAATGGAAATGCACAAGAAACCAATAGTAATGGAAAGGAAATTGGGACTCAAATCAAAGGAGTGGACCAGAAAGAGGAAAAAAATGACCAAACAGAAAAATATGAAGAAACAAGAATTCAAAAAAATGAGGAGAGGCTTAGGAACCTCCAGGACATCTTTAAACGTTCCAACATCCGAATTATAGGGGTACCAGAAGGGGGAGAGGAAGAGCAACAAATGGGGATCTTATTCGAACAAATAATAGAGAAGAACTTCCCCAATCCGGCAAAGGAAATAGACTTCCAGGAAATCCAGGAAGCTCAGAGAGTCCCAAAGAAGTTGGACCCAAGGAGGAACACACCAAGGCACATCATAATTACATTACCCAAGATTAAAATGAAGGAGAGAATCCTAGAAGCAGCAAGAGATAAGGGGACAGTCACCTACAAAGGAGTTCCCATCAGACTGTCAGCTGATTTCTCAAAAGAGACCTTGCAGGCAAGAAGGGGCTGGAAAGAAGTATTCCAAGTCATGAAATCCAAAGACCTACATCCAAGATTGCTCTATCCAGCAAAGCTTTCACTTAGAATGAAAGGACAGATAAAGTGCTTCTCAGATAAGATCAAATTCAAGGAGTTCATCATCACCAAGCCCTTATTATATGAAATGTTAAAGGGACTCATCTAAGAAAAAGAAGATAAAAAAGATGAACAGTGAAAGGACAGCAAACTCACAGTTACTAAGAGGCACGCCTAAAACAAAAACAAACTAAGGACAGCTAGATCAGGAGCAGAACCATAGAAATGAAGATCACATGGAGGGTTAGCAACGGGAGAAGGTACAGAAAATAAGTAGTATAGACAGTAGGTGGAAAATAGATAGGGAGGGGGGAGGGCAAGAATAGTATGGCAAATATAGAATCTAAAGAACTTGAGACACGTGGTCATAAACTAAAGGGGGTTGGTGGGGGAGGGGTGTACAGAGTGGAGGGGAATGAAGGGGGGAATAGACCTGTAATGACATAATCAATAAAATATATTAAATTAAATAAATAAATAAAATGGTTACTTCCCATCCCCCGCTCCCCACCCCACCATAACTATGAGGGCATTTATGTCCCATCATAATCCTGAGTGCCTTGTGGGTCTCCTGCAAATAAAACTTGTGAAAATGGGGGGTCCTCTTTACTGCTGGGCCCCAGCAGTTTTTAATCTCATAAAGTGAGTCCATACTTAGCCTTTAGCAGTTTGCCAATTACAGTTTTTTTTCCTACCAATTCTTGGTTCCAGAGGCTTCTGCTCTGCATAATTTCTGAATGTGTGTGTT